GTGTATAGAGAATGAGATATAAAAAAGCAAGAACAGAAGTGGGGAGGCTACTCAGGAGGCTACCCCAATAATCCAGGTGAGACCTGATAGAGGTAGGGGTGGTGATGGTGATAAGTGACCAGATTCTGAATATATGTCAAAGGAACTGCTGTAGGATGTGCTGATGGAGTAAGTCTAAGAATGTGAGAGAAAGAGAATTCCAGGATGCGTAAAAGTTATGGGACAATTTGGAGAAGGAAGGAAAGAAATCAGATGAGTTAAAAATAATAGTAACAACTTTTATTGAGTATTTACTATACATCAAGCATCATGTTATGCCAAGTTCATTATCTGTATTACATTAGTGAATCCTCCCTGTAACCCCAATTTACAATGATGAACTGATTGCTAAAGCGTCTTACCAGCCATGGAGCAAAAGGTAGGCCAGGGACTGGGCCCCGTGCGGTCTTGCTGCAGACCACACATCCTTAATCTTCCACAGGATACAACCTCTATAGTCTCTGAGAAGTGAAAGGTTACCCAGAGTTGGGAAAAAGGGGAGAAGGGAAGCAGAGCCAAGACTGGAAGTTCAAAAAGAATGTTGACCAATTAATCAAACAACATGCATCAAAAATTTAAATGAATAAACTGTTGAAAATGCTTTCTTTAGGGCAGTTTTTGCTGTGGTTTGGGGCTTACTCTCCTGTGGCTGCTTGGGCCATGTCTGTCTAGATGAAGAAAATGACTGAGCTGCAATTTTTCTGGACCTCTTTAAAAAAAGTCATGTCAATCACTGAGGGATCCCAATCACTGAGGGATTCCCTCAGCGGCCACAACTGGTATAGAGCTGATTCCAAGCTCTCAATCCTATGAGATAAACATCCCCTCCATCTTGTTTAGCATAAACACTGACACTGAAATCGAGTAGGCTGGTGAGATGGAAGTTGAGTCATGGCATATTTATTAAGCTGAGCACTGGCTTTGACACTCAGAGGAACACCAAATTAATTCAAGACACATTTCTAGCCCTTAAGGGGCTTACGACATTGGTTTGGCTGATGGACCACCCAATATCCATTAGGATGGAGAAACCAAATCTCCACTTTGGGCTCATTGTGCTACATGGAGTGACAGGCCTGGAGATGAAAAGGGCCTCGGTGCATGTGGAATGCATGAGTGGCAGGCCTGCAGCCCCTCAGCCTGTGTGCATTAACCCCATGAGCAGCCTGGCTGCAGAATGAAGGTGGCTGTTTGTGCATAAACACTGTCATTTCACTGAGACTGCTATTTCATCTTTGAACCTTGGCTTCAAAGAACACTGACCATATTCCTGTACTTGCCTTCCTTTGAAGCATATGGCTTTGCATTGCAGATTAAAGTGAAGACATTCATCAAGGAAGAGATCTGGCCAACCGCTCCCCAAACTCAACCCAAAACAAAGCTTTGAAATGCTCCAATCACAGTAGCAGTGGGGTGGGCTGAGGACAAAGACTCAGAACTGGGCCCTGTTTCTTAGATCCTGTAACACAGCTCCAGCACG